CCCCCGTTAAGAACCACGAAAGAATATGCTGGTGTTTTCAGCATTTTTTTTTCTTTTTCTTTTGTGAAGTGACTAGTAATTAGACAATGCGAGATGTGTAATATTTAAGGACAACTAAAATGATACTCTTTTATGTCTGCTGTCGTATGCCGGCTTTAACTAACAAAAGTAAATCAACCTCAAGTGTATCTAATGAGTCACCTCCAACTCCATTTGACAAACTGTCTTATTTATAAAGTGCTTTTATTTTAGTCTGTACTGATATCCCCTTTTCCCCATTAAAAGAATCATAATAACATCTTTCAAATGTCTTTCAAAGAAAAAAAATCGATGACCTAAACTAGTTTTCTTTTTGTAACATTTATGTTGGAGAACATTTTAGCAAATTATGGTCATGGTCGTCATTCTACCTCGTTAACTCCAGGAGTACTCATTATCTGGTTATCAGACAACGCCTTATGATCTGCCGTTTTGGAAAACTAAACAAAAAGCAATAGAAAACTTTTTTGGGGCCATTTTTGTGTTATTTGTCTACATCTTTACAAAGCATTCAACAACATGCACACTATGAAAAGAAAAGCAAAATCGCGCTTCTTGTTTGTGTACGATGGTTCAAAATATTCCGTGACAGTGCCTTTGTTTTCTAACTGATGAGGCACCAGTTATCTTTACGCCCCTACAGAGTCACCAGCTGGCCTACTGCACTCCTCACACTAGCCTAGCGCACTTCTCACTCCCCACATTGACCTCTCACTGGCCAGACGTGACCTCCATCCACACGTCCATGACACGGACCCGGGCAACACGGTCAAGACGCTCGGCCCAGACTGACCTTTGAGGTAGGCGGGGCAGCCTAGCCTGGACAGTGGGCAGTGCAAACCGAGCCAGAAAATGTGAGACAAGGTTGCATTCCGCTGGGGAAATGTGCTAACTCGACCGTTTTTTAATTAGGAAATGAAGACATTCTTTTAATAGCTACGGGCGCCTGACGCACTTAAGATTGAGAACTTGATCTGTTTCTGTATCCGAGGGTGATCCTAATTATTTTCCTGGTGTTTTCTTGAATATTGTGTTAATTCAGTACAGTGGCCTGATGGATATCTTAATGCTACACCTAAGACACACGTCGCCCAGCAATGCTTTTGGCGTGAGAAACAGGAAGTTTGATAGTTAAGGGCAGATAATTAGAAGGTGACACTAGTAAGTCTTGGTTATTTAATTTCCCAATGTTTCCTCCTCTGTCTGATTTTTCTTACTTTTTTTCTTTGCGAGAAATAACCGACATTATTTCATGTGCTAAAAATTCAGTTAGTTGAGCACATAGAAGAATAATCTATGAGTACGACGCTAGCGCATTTATTGTTAATTTTGTTGTTGATGTTTTTGTTGTTGTTGCTGTTGTTGTTATTGCTGTTGTTATTATTGCTGTTGGTGGTGGTGGTGGTGGTGCTGTTGTTGCTGCTACCAAGAGGTACATGTACATGCGTAGCGAGGTTGCTGTGAACACGTAGGCTCCCACCGGTAGGGCGGAGATGGGAGGGGGGGTGTTGTGGGACAGCCGACTATGTATATAATGAAAATAATAGCAATAATAATGATTTAGATAGATAGGTAGCATTTGTATAGCGCAAATCCCAGATGAACAGCAAGCTCTATGCGATTTACAAACTATACCATTTCCTCAGCAGACTTGAGAGCATTCTGAGATAAACTGAACTTCCTTGAAAGCATACTGTGCAAGCTGTCATTTATGGGCGTTATAACACTAACATACTGACAAGATCTTTCGCTGTCTTCGGCCGGGTACCCATTCCCACCTGGGTGAAGTGCGGAAAATTCGTGTAAAGTGCCTTTCCCAAGGGCACAACGCCGGGCCCGTGGCTCGAACCCCCGAATGCACAACATCACGCTTACGAGTCCGGTAGCTTAACAACTTAGCCACCGACGCCACGTATATCCATTGCTCCCTTACGGCAAAGCTCAAGCGATGTGCATATTGTACTGTTTTAATTTCTTAAAGAGAAGTTTCCTCAAGCCCAGGCTTCTGGTGTATGACCAAGCACCCTCTGCCTTCTAAATAACTGACCAACATGTGTATATATCATTATGTCTGTGTGTTTGCATGTGTGTGTGTGTGTGTGTGTGTGTGTGTGTGTGTGTGTGTGTGTCTGTGTGTGTGAGTGTGGGTATGTGTGTGTTTAAGTCTGTGTATGTGTGAGTGAGTGTGTATATGTGTTGTTTATTCATTTGTCTGTGTATATAAAAATGTGTGTGTCTATCGAGTTGTTTTACCATATTCTCTCTACACTCTGAGCCATAACACAAGCCTCTATGTATTTAACACTTCTGATTTTATACACGATAAGAGAGAGAAAAAATCAAAATGATAAAAAAAATGAAATGTAAAATATGATGATGAAGCACTGCTCAAAGAACTACTTACATGGTAGATTTTGTCTTGGAAGGAGATGCGAATTGGTCGTCTGCCTAAGAGCTGCTCACACGCACAAGTGCAGAATGCGCGACGTGTCCGAACGATGGTCCGAAATGGTGTGCGTGGCTGCTCGCTATTTATCTCTGCATGCGCACGGCCCACACAACAAAACAACTTGTGAGTCGGGGAGAGCCGAGAGCAATTTGGGAGTGTCGTCACAAGAATAGACTTTTGACGAGCAGAAATCTACGCGGTTATCTCGCCTGCCGGTTTCGCATAACCGCCCTTGTTTGTGTGAGAGGCTGCGACTCGTCTCGTGTGAGTGAGTATGTGAGTGAGTGAGTGTGTGAGTGACCCCGAGGCAGGAAGTCCTCCTCTTGAGAAATGCACTGCGCCGTTCTAAATTATGTGCGCAGCGCTCCCCGCCCGTACCACAAGGTTTTTGTCGCAGACCTCTTGGCCTGGCGAGACTTGTTCGTTCTCAAGGTCATCGCTCCAGTGCCTTGTTGATCTTCTTACAGCGCTTTTGTTGTTGTTGATGGTGGTAGTGGTAGTGGTAGTGGTGGTAGTGCTGGTTTTGCTCGTACTGCTGCTGCTGCTGTTGTTCTTGTTGTTGTTGTTGTTTTGTGTTATTGTTATTGCTGTTGTTTTTGCTGTTGTTGGTGGTGGTCTTGTTTCTGTTATAATGATAGTTGTTGTTGTTGTTCTTGCCCCTGCTGCTGTCGTCCTATCTATTTCAGTACAGCATAGGAACAATAAAACATTAAAATAGTTGTTGTTATTATTATTATTATATTTTACTTTATTATTATTACCATCATTAACATATTAACATTATAATTACTGCATTGTCGTCACCACGTTATCATTATTAACAGTCGTTTTTGTTATTTAAAATTACCTTTTATTATTATTTTAGTAGTAGTAGTAGTAGTAGTAGTAGTAGTGTTATTGCCATCATCATCATCATCATCATCATCATCATCATCATCATCATCATCATCGTTCTTCACGCCCTTGTTTTCATCCACTCTTTGTCTCACCAGAGGACCCCACCTTTCATTCTGTCTCTTCCAAACCCATCCCACTGGTAGTATCACAACGGAAATCCCCTATGAGATAAACGCGAACTCGGCCAGTTTTTTGGACTCCGTTTAACAAAACGCTGACTCAAACATTTCTATTTTCAGTTGCGGTTGTTGGTTTGGGTCAAGAAGTTCGCTCTCCCTGTCACGGATGTGTCGCATCTCGCTGTATTCAACAGCTGGCGTGGGAAGCTGGACAGAACACTGACCCGTCTGTCTCATTGTGTTGACTACAACCGCACGATCGTTTAGTGCGTTAGGGGTGTTGTTGGGATCTACGTCGCAACTAGATCTATCTAGGGTTGGTTGGTTGGTTGTGTTTTTCTTTCTTTTTTTTCTTTTTTGTCAGTCTGTCGAAAACAGGAATCTCTACTGTGTCGTGAATAGTGACCCAGTTTGTAGTACTTCTAGTCTCTCCTCTCCACTCTAGACGTCTGCAGGTTTATGGGAATCTGACGACCATGACACGTCATCTCGCAACCTCCCTTCATCCCCCCCCTCCCCCCTTACTAGTCCCTTTTCCACGCTCATACCCTCCCCTCTCACAAAAACATTCGCCCCTTTTTTTTTGGACTACACTGATTTTCTCTTAGCCATCTTGTTGTATTGTATCTCCTTCGTGAGAAATAAATACCAAAATATTGCTTTTTTTTACTACTACTGCCAGAATGATTCTTTTCAACAACGCCATCTAATTTCAACAGACTTACTTAAAAGTGTGAACACAGTCGAATCTCATCTTCTC